GAGTTTCATGCTGGTTTGTATTACATTCATCTTCCCTCTTTATATTTGTTTGGAATCTCAAACTGGCTTGTCAGATTTACAATCCCTCTTTGTAATGTTTACTAGAGGAGAATATATAATATCTTTACATGTTGCTCCTCGAGGCTTTGGACTGCTATTACTGGTTGTATAGATTCTGCAAATCAGACCTCACCTGCTTCGTGCTGGTAAACATCAACTATCCAGGGAGGTACTAGCATCTTCTCGCCAGTGCGAAGCAAATAGTAAGCAGGTTGATTAACAACCACCAAGCAAGTTACTATAGTCAACACTGAGAGACAAGATCCTGTTAAGTGTTTTGCATTTGGCAGGATTATTATTATTTCTGTCTCATGATAATATAAGATTGCAGGTAAAGCTTATAAATTTCTACTTAAATTCCACTTTGCAGTTATAGTTACTTTCCTGTGTGTTTCTTAATAGTTCTTAGTCCATTAATATTTTCTTTTCCAGTGTTGAAAGTCTGGTCAGAGACTGGGCCGCGGAGGCCATGATCCATGCCACAGTTTACAGACATACATGGAAAATAAGTCCTTTTCATATATGCTTCCTAGTGGAAGCAGATATGAAAAGGACAGTTACTTTATGAAACTCATAACGTTAGTGAAAGCAAACAATGGACAAGATTTAGAGGTGGTGAATAAAGGTAAGTAGTGAGTTTATTGAGGCTGTGGCTTTTTCTGTGATGATTTTCGATATCTCTGTGATTTCAGTTCTTTTAGTTTTTGTCTTAACTTCCTTCGTTTAGTTTGTTCAGTTTTTAGATTGTTTTGTCTTTTTCTGCCCAGGAAACAGCATTCTGACACAGGTCTTAGTCATAAGATGGCTCGCTCAGTGCCGGGGTCACGGGACCAACTGCAGTTTGGCTGGTGGCGTCAGGTCGCAGCTAACACTGGTGTTTACTTTTTCTTACTCGCCGGTACTCTCCCGGCCCGAGTCTTTTCCAAGTAGTGGTGACCCGGCCTTGGCTCCCTATCTGGGGAGTATCTCCAGACCAAAGTCTCCCATGGGAGGTGTTTACTGTCGTCTTGGTAGTGGTGTATCAGTGAAATGTTGCACCCCGTGTACAACGAGGATTTTAGGTAAAAGGACACAAGTGCCACTAATGCCACATTATCATTGTGGCAACGTTTCGCTCTCCAGGAGCTTTTTCAAGCCGTTACAAACAATACAGGGACACAGAGGGTATATATATGTATAGAGTGATGTGCTTTGTACCTATATATACACCTATATATACCTATATATACACATATATACCTATATATACACTTTATATACCTATATATACACATATATACCTATATATACACTATATATACCTATATACACTCTGTGTTCCTGTATTGTTTGTAACAAGCTTGACAAAATTCCTGGAGAGCGAAACGTTGCCATAATAAAAATGTCGCATTAGCTGCACTTGTATTCTTTTAGCTAACATATTATCGGTAATTCTACCAACATTATTACAACGAGGATGAAACTCTTCTCAAAACTCCAGCAGAAGAGGAGGATCCAGTGGTAGCATCTATCACTCTGGACGTGAGTGCCGGAGACGCTTATGTTGTGACCGCTGTATAGTCCTTGTGGCTTGTAGTGTCCGCTGTAGCGCTTATCTTTTTGATTATAATAATTATGTTGTGACCACCATTCTTCTTTAATTTATGTCTTCCTACCTTCTTCACATATATATATTGGTGTCGACATCCCTGGTTGTCCCAGACTTTTTAACATCGTACCTGAAGACATCACAGACACTACCGGAATAAGTGTAAAAGTATTCAGTAGAAAATTTCCACAATTTCCTCCTTCAAGTGCCGAATCAACCAGGCTGCGATGGATATATGGGCCAGCGGGCCTGCCAGCAGCAACAGTCTGGTTGACCAGGAACGCAGCAGACGAACCTGACCCAGGGCCCGATTGCGGAGTAAGAAAACTCTGGAAACCTACCTGAGGCGAAGGTAAATGTTGGCGCGTGTGATGAGTGGTGACTGTTTCATGGTTCCCTGATGACGTTCTTTAGGCTGATTGGTGGCTGCTTTGTGTCTCTCTAATGTCGTTAGCAAGCGATTAATACATACTTGAGGACGTGTGATGATGCTGGGCACCCAGTTGGTCGTTGCTGTTGATGGAATATACTTGAGTTTGGTGGTAACGCTCTTGGTAATACTAGTTTGTGGTGACGCATTCTCCAATTTTTCGTCTCTTTTTCAATTTTCCCAGATTGGCAATTTTGGCGGTTGTCGCACCTTCTCAGGACAGTGTCATGGCGTCCTGGGACAGTGTCACGGCATCCTGAGAGTATCATAGCTCTTGGACAGTGTCATGGCATCCTGGACAACGTCACGGCATCCTGGAAGTGTCATGGCGTCCTGGGATAGTGTCACTGCTTCTAGAGACAGTATTGTGTCAGGGAGCAGTATCATAGCTTCTGGGCACAGTTCCTTGGTCGTTCATAAAGGCAGAATCTTCTCTTGAAAGAATTTAAGGTCATGGGACCGTGCTAATGTCTACTGTGACAGCCTGGTTGATCAGAAGGCCTGGCCTGTGACGAGGCCTGCCATTAGCGTTGATCCCCGACGCTGTTTCCAGGTAAACTTCAGGTGAACTCATTTTCCTCCGCAGAAAAAAAGGTCATTTCCACAGCATCCGCAGTCATCTCCCAAGGAAACACTGACTGATGCTCTCTCATACAACTGATGCTACAGTCAACAATTTTGCATCGCATTTTTATATCTTGTTTTAGGATTTTTACATGAAGGCTGACAACACGAGGTGGATAATGAAGGATGTGGAGCTATTCTAAATACTATTTAGTAAGTTATGACGATGTAATTAACCAAAATTATGTGTTACTACGTATGTTTTCTCTTTCAACAATGAATTCTTCAAACGGAAATTTAGTTGCAGTATGGGGAAGGCAACTCTCTGCTGTACTCGCTATCTTGGCAAACACTTGTTTTCAGCTTTAAGAGAAATTCATTGTTATACTTTAGATGAATAAGACCATTGTTGTGGAGAGAAATAGAAAAGAGAGAGAGACAAATGTAGTGTAATGCGATTCTTTATTGACAACGTTTCGCCCACACAGTGGGCTTGTTCAATTCGCACATGTATCTAATCTCTTTGTGTCTTGATGAAATATACTGGGCGAAACCTTGTGGTGTTGAGGTTGCCTTGAATAGCTGCTCCTCGTGGGTTTCACGCTTCAAAACCTGATCCTGGCCATACCTGTGTTCAGCCTGAACACAGGTATGGCCTGTATTCAGAATGAAGCCAGACCTCATTGTTGCCTGACCTCGGCTTCTAAGACTTGGTCTTGGATCGTAAGATCTGGTCTGGGACTGTAAGGTCTGGTCATGGATCCCAAGATCTGGCCTTGGATAGTGACATTTGGTCTTGGATCCTGAGATCGGGTTTTCGATCGTATAATTGGTCTTGGATCCTGAGATCCGGTTTTCGATCGTATAATCTGGCCTTGGATCCTGAGATTTGTTTTTGGATCGTAAGATCTGCGTTTGGATTCCGAGATCTGGTTTTGGATTGCAGGATTTGGTTTTGGATCGCAAGATTTGGTTGTGGATGCCAAGATCTGGCCTTGGATCGCAAGATTTGGTTGTGGATGCTAAGATCTGGCCTTGGATCGCAAGATTTGGTTGTAGATGCAAGATCTGGCCTTGGATCGCAAGATTTGTTGTGGATCCTAAGATCGGGCTTGGATCGCAAGATTTGGTTGGATTCAAGATTGGCTTTGGATCGCAAGATTTGGTTGTGGATGCCAAGATCTGGCCTTGGATCGCAAGATTTGGTTGTGGATGCCAAGATCTGGCCTTGGATCGCAAGATTTAGTTGTGGATCCCAAGATCTGGCCTTGGATCGCAAGATTTGGTTGTGGATCCCAAGATCTGACCTTGGATTGCTTCACCTGTTGATGGTTACCGAGGTCATCGCCCCCCACCACTTGGTCCCAGACTGCTGGTATGATCAGTCAGGCTATTGGTACTAGAAACAGTTCAACGTATGCATCACAGCCCTGCTGATCAGGAACTGTCTAAAAGTATCTACTTCTTGAAGGTAACTGAAGGCTTCTTGGTCATTTCCTCCCTTGGGTATTAAAGGGATTATTTAAAGGGAGGAATTCTTGAAATAGGGTTTTGCAATTTTTTAATAGCAGAATCAATTTTAGGATTTCTTTCGCTTTCACTAATTGTTTTTTGCTGTCTGCTGGGCTGCCTTTAATGTTTCTTGTTTCAACTCCAAACATTCTCTCACTATTGTTCAGCTTTGATTCAGCAAGAAATCTTGAAATTTTGAGACATTCTTTTATGCTGTATCTTCTCTTTCTTCTTTTTTTTTTTTCTCTCTCTCTCTCTCTCTCTCTCTCTCTCTCTCTCCCTCTAGCGTGGTTGTTAGGTAGAAACCAACTGGTGGCATCTAATTCATTGTCATCATCGTCATCATCATTCATCAATTCATCATCATAGATATGGGTAGTTGTGAAAGTCTTGTTGCGCTGCGTGACTTTCGTTTCATCGTATGACTGTTGGTTTAAGGAAGTGTGAGTCTTGTTGATGAGTGGGTCTCGTGTGTTGTGTGAAGTTTATTGACGTATATTGTGGCTGTACTGTGTCAGGAGTGGTGTAAGTATACTGTGTATTATGAGAGTACTGTGTATTATGAAGGAATTGGGTATTATGAGGATATTTGGTACTGTGTGAGGAAGGTTGTTGTGTATTGTGGGTGAACTGTGTAAGGGCCCTTTGTGTATTAAGTGTATTGTGTATTATGGGAGTATATTGTGTGATGGTATTATATATTTAGGGTATTGTTACTATTATATGGTATAGGGCTGTAATGTCACGTTATTGCATTGTTGTTATTGCACTGTTATTTTGTTGTTGCTGGCACTGTGTTAATGAAATTTTATGTTTGTGCACTAACATTGTGTGGTCTCCCAACAGAGTGGTCGTGGCTTGAGCCGTCCTCAGTTCGTCGTGTCCGTCGCTCAACGTGGACGGGGAGGAGCTGGACGATGACGACTCTCCCTCATGTAAGTCCCCCTCTGGGCCCAGCCCCGCCCTGCCAGGAGCCAGCAGCAGCAGCAGCAGCCCCCACGCCCACACCTATCAGGCGAGGAGGGGGTCTGGTCGTCTCTCCTCGCGCTCCGACGACGGCGAGACCACCAGCCCCAACACCCCCAACACCCCCAACACGCCTATCACCTCCAGCTCCCTCGACGAGCACCACCTCTGTCCCGATACCCCCAAAATCCGGGTCAACGACTCCACGCCCACAGGTACAGGCGAGGACGTCCCCCTCTGGTGGTGCCCTGCCTGTTCCCCTAGCACCATGCACTGCCCACTTCCAGGTTATGCATGCATTCCTAGGACACGCCTATCCATCCTCCCTAGATTATGTCTGTTCTCCATTTTAGTGTACGTTTGCTTCCATGTCCTAAAGGGAGACGCATACACTCGTCCCGGGACATGTCCATTCCCTCTGCACGAAACTCCCCCCCCCATCCCTCCCTCCCTATCCCTTAGCCCTGTTGTTACATCGGCCGTCGTTTGCTCTTTATTATTTTGCGGCTGAGAGTTTGCTTGCAAGCTTTATCAAATCACTGACCTTCTCCAGGACGACCAACAGGTGGTGGTTAATACCTAGTATTACCTAGTATTACCACCAATACTTACTACCAACACATCTACTACCAGCCACATGTATTACGAAGTTCATGTTCTACTGAGGACAGGTACTATCAACCACGGGCACTATCAATGACAGGTATTGTCAACCACGAGTACTACCAACGACAGGTACTATCAACCGCGGGTATTACTCACGACAAGTACTATCAACCACGGGTACAACCCACAACAGGTACTATCAACGACAGGTACTATCTACCACAAGTACTATCAAAGACAGGTACTATCAACAACGGGCGCGTCGAACTGCAGGTACTGTCAGCCACGGGTACTACTAATGACAGGTACTAACAGTCACGGATGCTACCAGTGACAGTACTGAAGTCTTTTTGTTTAAATATTTGTTAACATTAAGTCCCAAAAGACTTAAACAGGTATCAAATAAGAGAGTGCATACATGCCTTTATACATTTTTAGCCAGCATCTGATGTTCCGGGTAGAAGTGACTTAACCGGTACCTGGAGGTAGTAATGATGCGCCGGGTAGGAACAACTTAACCAGTACTTGGAGGTAGTAATGATGTGCCGGGTAGGAGCAACTTAACCAGTACCTGGAGGTAGTAATGATGTGCCGGGTAGGAGCAACTTAACCAGTACTTGGAGGTAGTAATGATGTGCCGGGTAGGAGCAACTTAACCAGTACTTTTAGGTAGTAATGATGTGCCGGGTAGGAGCAACTTAACCAGTACTTGGAGGTAGTAATGATGTGCCGGGTAGGAGCAACTTAACCAGTACTTGGAGGTAGTAATGATGTGCCGGGTAGGAGCAACTTAACCAGTACTTGGAGGTAGTAATGATGTGCCGGGTAGGAGCAACTTAACCAGTACTTGGAGGTAGTAATGATGTGCCGGGTAGGAGCAACTTAACCAGTACTTGGAGGTAGTAATGATGTGCCGGGTAGGAGCAACTTAACCAGTACTTGGAGGTAGTAATGATGTGCCGGGTAGGAGCAACTTAACCAGTACCTGGAGGTAGTAATGATGTGCCGGGTAGGAGCAACTTAACCAGTACTTGGAGGTAGTAATGATGTGCCGGGTAGGAGCAACTTAACCAGTACCTGGAGGTAGTAATGATGTGCCGGGTAGGAGCAACTTAACCAGTACTTGGAGGTAGTAATGATGTGCCGGGTAGGAGCAACTTAACCAGTACCTGGAGGTAGTAATGATGTGCCGGGTAGGAGCAACTTAACCAGTACTTGGAGGTAGTAATGATGTGCCTGGTAGGAGCAACTTAACCAGTACTTGGAGGTAGTAATGATGTGCCGGGTAGGAGCAACTTAACCAGTACTTGGAGGTAGTAATGATGTGCCGGGTAGGAGCAACTTAACCAGTACTTGGAGTAGTAATGATGTGCCGGGTAGGAGCAACTTAACCAGTACTTGGAGGTAGTAATGATGTGCCGGGTAGGAGCAACTTAACCAGTACTTGGAGGTAGTAATGATGTGCCGGGTAGGAGCAACTTAACCAGTACTTGGAGGTAGTAATGATGTGCCGGGTAGGAGCAACTTAACCAGTACTTGGAGGTAGTAATGATGTGCCGGGTAGGAGCAACTTAACCAGTACTTGGAGGTAGTAATGATGTGCCGGGTAGGAGCAACTTAACCAGTACTTGGAGGTAGTAATGATGTGCCGGGTAGGAGCAACTTAACCAGTACTTGGAGGTAGTAATGATGTGCCGGGTAGGAGCAACTTAACCAGTACTTGGAGGTAGTAATGATGTGCCGGGTAGGAGCAACTTAACCAGTACTTGGAGGTAGTAATGATGTGCCGGGTAGGAGCAACTTAACCAGTACCTGGAGGTAGTAATGATGTGCCGGGTAGGAGCAACTTAACCAGTACTTGGAGGTAGTAATGATGTGCCGGGTAGGAGCAACTTAACCAGTACCTGGAGGTAGTAATGATGTGCCGGGTAGGAGCAACTTAACCAGTACCTGGAGGTAATGATGTGAACTTGCGTAATGTTTGTTTTACTTAGGTGTATTGTTTTATAATGGTGTACCAGTGAGTGTGTAGTATCAGTGAAGCTTGTGCACCTGCAGCATGACCCAGCACTTGTCTCACTGTTGCACCTTGTTATGCTCGTTGAGTTATTGGTGTCTTTATACTTTTTAAGTTGTTGAACTTTCTGTGCACTTTCTTTGAGTTCTTGCTGTTTTTTATTTATAAATTCGTTATTAGTAGCATAAAAAAAAGTTTTTTCACTGATTCAGGTCGTTCGTGTGAGTTTGAAGGGATGGCAGTTCTGCAATTTTTAATTCTTTTTCCACCTGTTTTTGCTTCTCCGCCTTCCTTTTTTTTCCCTTTCACTTATTTATTTTTCATCATACTCTTCTGGTAGGTTGTCTACATCACCATGCGACTTGGATGTTCATCCTGGCAGGCCTTTGCTGTTCTCGCTAATGTGTGACCTACAGTTACGTGTATATGTGAAAGACATCCCACAGCAGCGTCAGAAAGGTGTTCTTTACCTTACCTGACGTATCAGGTCACCTACCACGACTCCTTCCTTCTCTTCCTTCATTACATCTCTATCACCTGATTTACCCTCCTTCTCATGCAATTCCTTCCTTCCAAAATCATTTGGCATTTGATTTATCCCGATTACCTTGTTTAGGTGTTGTTATTAATATTAGTCGATTTTAGTGTTTTATTTTTTCTCACGTTTATGTTCATTATTCATGAGTTATAGTAGTGATAGTTTGTGCTTACTGAACACGTTTATTGACTTGCCAGTTTAAATAACGTTTGCATGTTTAAACCAGTGTAATACAATATCTTGTTGTATAAATGATTGTACATTTGTAATGTAATTATCTTAGCCCTTGTACTTACAGGGAAAAGCATATACGTATATATATATATCGTGCCGAATAGGCAGAACTTGCGATCTTGGCTTAAATATCAACGCTCATCTTGCCATATAAGACATGTGAAAATTTGTGTATGCAATAATTTCGCCAAAATCATTCTGAACCTAATGAAAAAAATATATTTAACTGTGTTTGATTATATTAAATTATTGTAAACAAATCTAAAATATATTTAGTTGGGTTAGGCTAAAATAAATTGCTCTTGTTATAATAAGGTTAGGTAAGTTTTCTAAGATTCTTTTGGTGCAAAATTAAAATTATTTACATTAACATTAATGACAAAAATTTATCTTTAAACGTATAGAAGAAAATTTCAGAAAGCTAATTGACCAGTTTTACATATTCGGCACGACATATATATATATATATATTCTTTCTTTCAACACACCGGCCGTATCCCACCGAGGCGGGGTGGCCCAAAAGGAAAAACGAAAGTTTCTCCTTTTACATTTAGTAATATATACAGGAGAAGAGGTTACTAGCCCCTTGCTCCCGGCATTTTAGTTGCCTCTTACAACACGCATGGCTTACGGAGGAAGAATTCTGTTCCACTTCCCCATGGAGATAAGAGGAAATAAACAAGAATAAGAACTAGAAAGAAAATAGAAGAAAACCCAGAGGGGTGTGTATATATGTGCTTGTACATGTATGTGTAGTGTGACCTAAGTGTAAGTAGAAGTAGCAAGACGTACCTGAAATCTTGCATGTTCATGAGACAGAAAAAAGGACACCAGCAATCCTACCATCATGTAAAACAATTACAGGCTTTCGTTTTACACTCACTTGGCAGGACGGTAGTACCTCCCTGGGCGGTTGCTGTCTACCAACCTACTACCTATAATATATATATATATATATATATATATATATATATATATATATATATATATATATATATATATATATATATATATATATATATAATGTAACGGTACTGAATATGTACATCTAAATGCAAATTTTATAAAGTTTTGCATTAGAAAATTACCAACAGCCTGACTGATCAGTAACGGAGTCGCGAACAACGGGAGGAGGAGGAGGAAGATCGAACCTCCGGCACTCGTTTCCTTCAGTGACCCACACAGGTTTAGAGCCTCACGCAATACAACAAGAACGTTGAATAGAAAATATGGATTGTTTATACATTTTGTACCTCAGTATGGACAGTGGTGAAACAGAGGTTACAACTGTGCTTACGTTGGACTGTGTGCAGGAAACATCAACAGCTTGATCGCTCAGACTGTTAACCAGGAGGCCTGGTCTCGCACCCACCCCCTTTTATGAACCCCGAAATTATTTAACATCTACAGGTATCCAGTCTGTGTCTGGAATAACTTATGCCGTCAGGCTACATCTCTTGTGTTTGTCTTCACTGTACACTCGTACATGCATAATATTGTCACTCGTTAGGCGGATCTCTTGTACTCGCCTGGTGGAGCCGATCCATAGCTCCTGGCCCCACCTCCTAACTTTT